TGCTATGACAATCTGGCGCTTCTTACTGTTTTACTGTTTTGTTATTAGTTTAAGTATTTGCTATTGACTGTTCAAATGCGGAGTTTTGCGCATCGTGTGTATGTGTGTGAGAGAGAGAGCGAAAGAGCAAGAGAGAGAAAGAGAGAGAGAGAGAGAGAGAGGGTCACATCACAGTGGAGTCAGCTGTCTTAATCGTGGCTTGTGTACTGCAAACATACCGGCTTCATCACTGTGTCTGTCACTCGACTCTGTTCCCCTTTCGGGCTCCATCTTTACATTTATTTTGAAAGATGAAGCTGCGATTATGGTAAGGGGCATTACATTTCCGACGAGTGCTTGCGGTGTTCGGCCAATCACAATGCACTGGGTCAGCTGGCCAATCAGAGCAGACTGCGCTTGTAGGAAGGAGGGACTTTGTAGAAAAGGAAGCGTTTGAGAGAGGCGGGGCATAGAGGACCTACAATAATGTACAGTATTTGAAAAATAATGTGTTTTTTGAACATTAAAGCATGTCTACATATTCTGTTACACCAAATACACAAAATAATGATCTTTAAAAAAGCATCATATGACCCCTTTAGTTAAACAGAAACTTTAATCACCCACCACCAAAAATAAAGCAAGTTCATCCCTTTTTTTTGACCAGAAGTATTTTCAGGGTGTCCTGCTTCACAATCATTGTCATTGTTGCCATCCACCTCTTCACAATCCTCCACTTGGTGGCCTTCCTCCCTCAAGAGGAAATTGTGTAGAACACATTCAGCGATAACCACTGGTACTTTTTGAGGTCTTCCATGGTCAAGTACTTCAGTCTTCTCCATTTCCCCTTTAGAAGGCCAAATGCCCTTTCAATCACAACTCTGGTTGAGCTGTGTGGAGTGTGTTAAAAAAAATTGCCTTTGGGATAAGTGCCCATTATCTCTTTATGGTGTAATGAAAGATGTGCTGAGTGGGTATGCGGAGTCTCCATGCAGGTGGTAGTCACTTCTCATTACATCCTGGAGATGGCCATATAATGGGCAGTTCCGAAACCAGTGTACACATCCAGGAACATCATCTGTGATGTACACACTGCTTGGAGTTGAGTACTTGCATGTCCTTTCCGGTTTATGTAACTGTTTCTATGGAGTGTGGGTGCTGGGATGGCAATGTGTGTGCCATCGATTGCTCCAATGACTCCAGGGAATCCAGTTTTTTCTTGAAAGCCATTTGCCAGGTTTGCAAACTCATCCTCTCTGGGCCATTGAATGTATTCATTTCTCAGTGTACAAATGACCTTGCGAATGTCAGAAAAAATATAATGAAGGGCCTTTTGGTATATCAAACCGGTCTGCAACACCCCTGAAGCTCTCTTGGTTTGCCAACAACCAAATAGAGCACAGCAATTTTTTCGGGGTGTCCAAGGTTAGGTTTGCCAGGAAAGGACCAACTTTCTCACAGAGAGCCTGTAGAAAAGTATGTGCAGCATTTATAGTAGAAGTTTCTACATTCCTATGATGCAGTAAATAAGCTGACACAAATCTTGCTATGGCTGTTTTATACACACTGATGCACATATTGCTATATACAGTGGGAATTTGTAAGTAAATGTAATTAACATCAAAATAAATGCACAAGAGCAAGTATGTTGTTTGCACATGTTTATTTACATTAAAGGCAAAATAACTGAAATAATAAGAGCACAAGTATAGATCTGGAACTTCTTTAAGTCTGTCTAAATATCATTTATTAATTGCAATGTCTTCTGGTCCATATCCTTTCCTTAGGAAGGTGTGCTAGACACTGATTAATAATGTAACATAAAAATACTATACATATTTATATATTTTACTATTGTATTATGGAGTGACACTTTCATTAACTTTTCTATACTCCTCCGATTATATAAATATTACAATAACACAGCACAAAAGTGTTCAGCAATAATGATAAGCCTAATACACATAATATAAATAATAAGGTCATATAGATCATATAACGTCTTGGAGGTAAGATCCTTCACCTGAAATGTTTGTCTTTTCATCCTGAAATGCGAGGCAAATGTTGGATCACAATAATTAGGAACCACAGTTTCCACAAATCCCTTCATTTGATTGGGATGTTCTCTTTGATTCTGTACGGCAAGGGCAGTGACTGTAACATCTAGCATATTTTACAGTATTAAACACGTATTTATACCGATTTCATCAGGCTCCGAGAATTCTTCAAAAAGAACACAAAGAATGGCCTTCTCAGCTGCCATAGTTGCAACTCTTGCGTCATCAGAACAGTGTGTTCAACACACTACCGTTTCCGTTTAAAAAATGTTTTGCACTGTTTTTGTCGGGGCTGAACGCAGCCCTGATTGCCTAATCCAAACCCCACCCCTAATCATAACCCCTCCCCCACCTGCTCCTAAACCTACCAATACTAGGGGGTGAATAATCTGGCAGGGGTGCAGAATTCGGCACATCGGCACTGTCAGCAAGTGGTTTCATGACATAGACGGTGTTTCAAACTGCAGAGTTTTACCAAGCCACTTCACAACAGACCAGCTGCACTGTCCCCTTCAGCTCTTCTGGCGCTTTATTACGAAACGTCCAAGGTTTATTACGACAGATAGCCTATGCTTTGTTTTGCGTTTTGTTTGTGTTTAAACGTAGCCTTTACAAAATAGGAACTGTTGTTATTTGAAACCGTTCAGCGGAATGCCTAATAATATATATAGCATGTTTTTTTTCTGTTTGAATTTATGGAGTCTGAGTGGTAAGTATTTTTATGGCTTCATTTCACTGTATATTACCATTGGTCCACATACATATCATTTTGTTGTTATCTCCATCATTCATTTGAATGTTTTAGAAGACTTACTTAATACATATCTTTGTTTATGATGTTATTTTGTATTTTTTTATTCTCAGCCATTACATTAAAGTGCGTAATTCATGGCATATTATTGAATTATACATTGAAATCAGCGAATAAGTGTTTTTCAATTTTTTTAAAAATTAAAAATCTCTGGATTCTCAGTACTTATGTCTGTTTTTTCATCAGGTGTGTTTGGTGTTGAGTCAGTGAAGTCAGTGTCAGTAACAGAGGGAGAATCAGTAAGTCTAAACTCTGATCTTACTGAAATACAGAGAGACGATGAGATAACGTGGAAATTTGAAGACATTATGATAGCTAAAATCTACGGGAAGGACAATAAGAGCAGGTTTTATGATGAATACACTGATGGGAGATTCAGAGACAGACTGAAGCTGGATCATCAGACTGGATCTCTGAGCATCACAAACACCAGAACCACAGACTCTGGAGTTTATAAAGTAACCAGCAAAAGCTCAGGGACCCCACTCAACATCTTCAGTCTTACTGTCTATGGTGAGTAGAGAATTACTTACCCGGTTTTTTATACTCATCTTTTGATAATAATGACTATCAGAATTATTACGAATATTGTCAAATAATAGACAATCCTGTGATTATAGATATATATTTATATTAATTATTCTCATAATTTTATATATTTTTTTCTTGTAACTTTGTTTTCAACATTCTATAACATGTTCTGCAACTTCATTTAAAATTTAAATATCATTTGACAGACAGTTATTATAGCATTTTTATTAAACTAAATTAAATTTATCCCCTCATGTTTTCAGCTCATCTGCCTGTTCCCGTCATCACCAGAGACTCCTCACAAAATTCTTCATCATCATCATCATCATCATCATATTGTTCACTGCTGTGTTCAGTGGTGAATGTGGGTCATGTGACTCTCTCCTGGTACAAAGGAAACAGTATCTTCTCCAGCATCAGTGTGTCTGATCTCAACAGAAGTCTTTCTTTACATCTGGAGTGTCTGGATGATTCCTACAGCTGTGTGGTGAACAATCCCATCAGCAACCAGACTCAACACCTCAACAACACTGAACTCTGTCAGCCATGTTCAGGTACTTCAGTAGCACACACAAACAAACTAAATAAATCATATTTCAGTTTTTTCTAATGCTGCCTATTTCTTCTCTCAAAAGACTTTATCCACTGTTGTGGTGTTACTGAAGCTGTGATCCGATTGGCTCTCTCTGCTCTGGTGGGTGTGGCTACTGTGGCTGTTCTTGTTTATGACATCAGATCCAGAAGCCTTCAACAAGAGCAGACATCACTGTCAAACTCTAAATAAAAAATAATCAGGAAAGTGGATATGTTCTTGAATTACTGTACATATTTTATTGCAATATATATATATATATATTTTTTTAGAATGTAAACTCCCTTTTTTTGTCAGTTGTTTATATCACTTTTCACAATACAAGTCATTCTAAAACAGCTTTTCAAAGAATATGCCTTACAACATACACTGTGATTAACAAGATAATCAATAATAATAATAATTATTATTATTATTGTTGTTGTTGTTGTTGTTGTAAGATAACTGCAGGCTCATAGATTCCCGCTCAGTGAGAAAGTGATCTGTACATCTGTAGTTATCTGAATAAAAGCTCATGCTTGTTGACAGATTGTTGGGTTTTACAAGAAGTAGCTTACCGTTTTTAAATTCCTTTATGTTTTATTAGTCTATTAGAGTATGAAAGAATATAGTGATATTAATATCTCAATTTTATTACTCACTGTTATATTTAAGACAACAAAATTATGTGATGCTATTGTTTAAAGTATGTTCTGTTCACACTAAAAGCATCACCACATTGGAGATTAAAGACTGAGAAACAATACATAAAATGGAAAAGAAATCCAACAGGACAAAACATTCACAATAATATACATTTACTAAAAAGCACACAATAAAAATTTGCTATGTACATGACATTAATCATGAATCGTTTAATTTGAATAGACAAAGTATTGCTTATATTTGTTCGAATATTTTAAGTTAGTAGACATTTTTAATTTCTAGTGTGGGTCAGGCATGCATTTTAAAGATGGCAGTGCTTCCTTCTTATGAAATAAACCAATAAATAACTCAAAAGTGTTTCAGGAGTTGGCGTTTGTCTTTAATTTAGCAATAACTTGAAATGATAAGAACTGAACCCAGAAGAAATACAAACGTCATTTAATATAGATTAATTATGTTTTATTTTGCCCAAAACAGTTAAGCACATTTTTTTTCTTTATTACATTATAGGTTTTTAAGTCATGTATAAAGTCCACTTGAAACTTACCTTTGAAAAGTGGGGTGTGGTTCATAAAACATATTTTTGTTCATTTATTGTGCTTATTTTTAAAATCATATAGATAAAGACTGTTGTTGTTGTTGTTAAATAAAATAACATTAGAATTGGCTGCCAAAGACATGCTTATATAAGAAAGTCATACAAAATGTGCAGTGCTGTCAGGCCCTGAACATTAAGAACCACTGCCCTTGCGTTTCAATTTCTCTTTATAATATTAAATGTGAACGTTTCATTCATGTTATTAGAAAGTTTGCTTTCACCCTTTTCTTCTTTCTGTTAATAAATCATACATTTTTCAATTTTTCTGTCTATGTAAATCTGGCAGTTTTTTTGGTGAGTCTAAAATGCTAACCACTGAGATGTTGTTAATGAGCACAACTCATCAGCTTAGAATTGGAAGTCAATAATTTGACAATTCCATAATATGAAATCATTCACAAAATCTTACAAAGCAAACATTTAAAATATTCAACTGGAGGGAGTGGGAATATCTGTCAGCAATTCTTCTTAAACGTACACCCTGCCTACATCGACCATTATATCCATTAATCTTTAATACTGTACACACTGGATACAACGCAACGCAATGCAACATAACAAATACTTGACAGTAAGCTGATCCCCGTTTTATTTCGACGTAGCTATTCTCAAAGCGCTCGCGCTAATTCTGACACGACAGACAAATGAATTTGTAATTGTCGCTTTGTCGCGTCCCGAGGTGTTCTAGGCAACCTCGAGCTATTGCAGCACTGGTTAGTACTACTTAATACAATTAATTACTAAAATATGTATATTGTATGTGAAAAAAAAAATGTAACAGGTCATATGGCTTACAGTCTGTGAAGGGAGGTGCCATCTAGAGGAGTTGATTCACGCTGACTGTAGAGTTTCACCAAACCGCTTCACAGCACAGTCGTCTACAGCACCTCTATCACTTTCAGTGTTCAAATGTTTATTATAAGATTTCTGTTGTGACTTAATTTTCAAAATTAGGAGCTGTTTTTATTTTGAAACCGTTAAGCGAAATGCAAAAGAAAATATATGGCATGTTTAAAATCTCTTGCATGTTCTTATGGAGTCTGAGTGGTAAGTATCTTTATGACTACATTTATCGTTTGTCCACATATAAACCCATTCTGTTATCCATTACGTTTTATAAGACTATAGAAAAATATCTTTGTTCACAATATTTTGTTATAGTCCTATTGTCATCTCATCAAATTGATCTCATCAAATGGTTAAATTTACTGCATAGTAACCGTACATTAAAATTTTTGAAGTAAAGAATTATTTTACATCGACAATTTGTAAATAGTTTAAAATTGACAAAAAATCTGGTAAATCTCTGGATTCTCGGTAATTATGTCTGTTTTTTTCATCAGGTGTGTTTGGTGCTGAGTCAGTGAAGTCAGTGTCAGTAACAGAGGGAGAATCAGTAAGTCTAAACTCTGATCTTACTGAAATACAGAGAGACGATGAGATAATGTGGAAATTTGAAAACATTATGATAGCTAAAATCTACGGGAAGGACAATAAGAGCAAGTTTCATGAGGATAATGCTGATGGGAGATTCAGAGATAGACTGAAGCTGGATCATCAGACTGGATCTCTGAGCATCACAAACACCAGAACCACAGACTCTGGACTTTATAAAGTCACCAGCAAAAGCTCAGGGACCCCACTCAACATCTTCAGTCTTACTGTCTATGGTGAGTAGGGTATTACCCTGTTCGTTGCCAGAGGCGGACTTAACCATTAGGCAAAGGTAGGCGACCGCCTTGGGCCCCCAAAAGCCAAGGGCCCCCTAAAATGCCTTTTATATGCGAGATGCGCGTTCAGTGCGGACGCACAAGTGGTTGCTGTGGTGTTCGTTACCACGACAGCCGTCTGTGCGTCCGCATTGAACGTGCTTCTTAGCAAAAGTAGGGCGATGTAGAAAATTGGGATGGAATCCCGGAATCTATTCATAAAAACGGAATTTACCGTGTAACGCGGAATGTGACGGAATGAACGCCGCAGACGCGCGTTTCGTTTGCTAGTTTGCTATTTAAGCACGCGCAACGCTCGCGGTTGTCGTCTGTAGCAGCTAAACACTATTTTTGCCATTTAATATTCACATACACTAGTCCATATCGCGGTTTGAAACAGTAAACTTCTGTTGTGTAGCATTTTGAATGTACAAAAATTAAAGGGTTTGTTTAATTTTCATTGGAACAAAAGATAGATTAATGTTTTCGCCTTCATTTGATTACCAGAAAAATGAAAATACACAACACAGAATTTCTAAAAAATAAGTAAATAAAATTAAAATTTCATAGGGTCCTATTATTGTATACAAATTAATAAATTAAGTTGTTTTTATGAATTCAATTAATTAGATATGTTTTTGATTAAACCGGTCAAAATGTAATACAGAAAAAAAAGAAAGCGCACAATTTTGGCCCTGAATGTAATTTTTGCTAAACTTTTAATAGGCCTAAATTGCTGTTAAATTAAACAAGTTTCGTGATTTTAATTAATTAGACATGTTTTTTGTTAAAATTTAATATAATCATCCAGAAAAATGAAAACGGAAAAAAAAAAAAAAAGAATCCAGAAAAATGAAAACGGAAAAAATAAAACTTAGGCTCATTTGGGAAAAATAAAACGGATTTCATAGGGCCCTACAAATATCATGCATCTGAAGCTATAATTTTAATACTAAGCAACAGTGCATATTATATAGGGCCTATTTTATTTTGTTTAAATGGCGCTGACTCATTTTTGTGAAAGACCCAAGAAGGACTATGCATAGTCACTTTCCACACAGGCACACTTCATGTTTGGTTGAAATAATCCTTAAGCATGTACATTTATAATTTCCTTCAGTTTAATTTAAATGTGCAATTAAAATAAATAAAAATAAACGTATATTTTAAAGTTTAGAATTAGTCAGCCTTGCGTTGTGTAGACAATTGCATAGTGAAACTTACCCCAACGCACCACCTAGTGTCCAACATACTCTAATACTATTATAACCTGTTTAAATTTGAACAAGGGATTTACAACATTAAAGAAATCCTTTATTTATAATATGTACATGAAAAATCTAAAAGATTAGATACAACTATGGGACACGATCGTGCAGCAGCGAGCAACAGTGAAAGGAACCTCAAGGTTGTATATGTGTGAAATTGTATAGGGCCCCATTCCTGTATTTTGCCTGGGGCCCCCAAATCACTAAATCCACCCCTGTTTGTTGCTATGGGTGTTTCTGCAAGAAAATATGTATTTTAATCATTTTTAAATCTGTAATGCTGACTCCTTCTCTTATTAAGGCTAATTACACAAGCTAGCATTTGTGCACCCATCTTTTTTTGTTTGGATTTAGCTACATGCTCAACATTTACAGTTGTCTGCTTGTTAAACAAGTATACTATTCTTTCAATATCAGATTTTCAAATGCTCTATTTTGAGTAGTCCTGGTTCCTCATCTACGTCATACCCATTATATTCTCTGTTTTCCAGCTAATCTGCCTGTACCTGACATCATTAGAAACTGTTCATCATCATCATCATCATCACAGCAGAATTGTTCACTGCTGTGTTCAGTGGTGAATGTGAGTCATGTGACTCTCTCCTGGTACAAAGGAAACAGTTTATTGTCCAGCATCAGTGTGTCTGATCTCAGCATCAGTCTCTCTCTACCTCTGGAGGTGGAATATCAGGAGAAAAACACCTACAGCTGTGTGCTCAACAATCCCATCAGCAACCAGACCACACATCTGAACATCAGTGAACTCTGTCTGCCATGTCCAGGTATGTCAGTGCTGATATATGTGTTTACTAAACTAAACTTATCTCTCTAGTTATAGAGTACTGATACAGTATTTGTTGTTGATCAGATTGAAAGATTCATTCATATTAATGCTTCATTTTGTCCATTATAAATAAAGGCCTGTCCTCGTTGCACATTGGGCTGATCTCTGCTGCTGCTGTTGCTGTATCTCTGTTGATTGTAACTGCAGTCTGGATCTCCTGCATCTGCAGGAAAACGGACCAAGAAGGCAAGTGATAATTTAACCCTTAAATGCATGCACCGTTGGTCCACGCAGTCCACAGCACCCTATGTCTTGTTATAGTCTAGAATAATCACAGGCTTCTCAGACACTTCATTTACTTCTTTTTTGTCATGCATACTGGATAAAAGCACAACGACCTTGTTTTTTGGCACATAGGACACCATGGCTTGCTTTTAGCAAAAACCGAACAGACTTGATCCCACAGGTCTCCTCTTACAGGCACAAAACGCAGGCGGAGCTTCTGGCTTGTTTTTGCACATTGTTCCCAGCAAAGTAATGTGTTTGTAGAGCAAATCAGCAGCGAGTTTTGCACTTGTAAACCAGTTATCAGTTGTGACATTTACTCCAGAGTTCGGAATTGGCTTTACCAACTTCTTTACTGTACTCTCTACTGAGCCTGTGCACCGCTGATATGGTAGACCATTGAAAGTATATGCCGTAGCAACATCACACATTAGAAACAGTTTCATGCTGTATTCATCAGGACAATGACCTCTGAATGGGATGAAAATCAATTGTCACATACAAGCCAATATTGTAATTTTTCCTGTAATTTTCAATGAAGGCTTTCCAGAGACAAAGTGAAATGGATCTGCAGTGCAGTTGAGACCTGCCTGGAACTACTTTAGCTGTGTGTTTACTGGAAAATAATTGCACAGCTTGTTTGTCAAACCAATCAGAATGAAGAATTTAACAGCCATGTAGTATAATATAAAAAATATGAAAAAACAGTGTTGCAGAAAAATGCAATAATTCTGAAATATATTTTATTCAGAGTTTTGATGTTTTTACATGTCTGTCATTATTGTTGGAACAGTTCAGAGTGGTGAAGAAATAATATATGCTGATCCAACATTCTGCAAAAGAAAAGCACAGAAATCCGTAAGAAACTTTCTTTCTTTCTTCTTTATCTCTATTATTTGAGCAGTGAGTCAGATCTAGCTGTGTATTTGTGTGTTTGGATTCTGATAAATTGTCAGTAATGCTCTTAATAACTATATATGTGATGTGATGTGAGCATGTGCTTGTTTTCTTTCAGAAAGTTCAAGTGAAGGAGGATGTGGTGTATGCAGGAGTTGCCATGAAACATTAATCAATCTGTGATTCTGTTAAAGGGCTGCAAACTTTTTAGCACCCAAATATCCACAAATGGAAAAGGAGGTGGATTACTGTATTAGTGTGCTTATTGTGTTTGATGATATATGTCAAACAGTCACACACAGACCTCGTAATGGTGTTCATTCACAAAATAATATTTAATAAACATAATCCTCATTTAAAAAAGGGATTTTATGAATGTTAATGTGGTATTAAATGGAAATTAATGGATTTATCTCAGATTTTGTAGTGTGTTTTTGTTTTGTGTATATTTGTATTGTTTTCAGATTCGGTCATGTTACTGTAGTAACTGTGTACAGACAGTCCTGTGTTGATACAGATGAACCTGATGAACCAGCTCTCTCTCATTGTGATATTTTATAGTGTAAAACATTGATACAATATATATTTCAAAATCTTCATGTTTTTTGTATTGAGCTTTATGCCTCTTTTTGTAGTATATTGTACTTTTTTGGCTATATTTTGTAGTAAATTCAAAATAAATAATTTTAACTGATATACCCTCTCTATTTCAATATGTAGTACAAAATAGCATCTTTCTGCATACACCATTTACATTTTTGGATTCTGTTTTTATTTACAATTGTAAGACACTTTTATCCAGAAAATAAAAATCTCTACTATGCCATTAATATATGAAAATACACATATGAAAAACACATACTATATGATACAACTATTAAATGAAAAAACTGACTTTAACCAATAAACATCTAAACCTTGTGTTTTAAAAAATGACAAACATTAATCTCATCATGTCTGCTGCTTCTGTTGAAAATACACTGTTCCTGCAAAGTTGATTACTGGAATGGAAAAGAAATGTTAAGTGTAAAATTAAAAACTAAGAAGAAAAATTAACTCACCACAGTCACTCTCACAGTTGCAAAAATAAATGTGTGAACATTTTTCAGTTTATATTCCACTTTGCTCTTAGTTTGATCTTTATCTCTCATCACCATTATTTTATCATGCTTGCATTCATGTCTGTTAAACCGCATTATCATCATGAACCATACTAATCAGCTGTGAGCAAAGTGACATGCCTCATGCAGTAAAATCACTTCCCCAGTTTTTCTCTTGCTTTTATATGAACAAAACGTGTTTTTCCCCCCCAAGTGATTATTTGAGAGGTGAGAGAGAAGAAAGTGTAAAGCAATCCTGCTCCTGGAGGGCCACTGTCTTAAACCTTTTAGAAGATTATAGAACTATGTTCTTGATATATAATGAGTGCTTTAAGATCTAAACCATCATCTGTGTTTGTGTTGTTTTGCAGAAAAATACGAGAGGACTCAAGAGACAATGGAATTCTGATGAATAAATATGACTCTCTTCCACAATATTACTGTTGTAAACACGATTAATGTGCATTTCCAAATGTCAAGAGGTCACACATCACACACAGTTGATCATCATGGGAAATATTTTTTTATATATAAGGGATCTAAGACCAATATACATATCAGAACCATTTCACTCATTTTAAAGGTGTACATTAAAGGGGTCATATGATGCGATTTCAATTGTTCCTTTCTCTTTGGAGTGTTACAAGCTCTTGGTGCATAAAGAAGATCTGTAAAGTTGCAAAGACTAAAGTCTCAAATCCAAAGAGATGTTCTTTATAAACCCACCCATAGAATACAAAAAGAATAGAGAAGCTAGTGTTAGTTTTTTTTTAAAGAAAACAAGCAGTTAGAAATGAATAGAGTGCAAGTCTAAAAGGGGCACGTTTTTTAAAAGAATAGAATTAGAATAGAGAGTGCTAGAGTATTAGAGGTCAAATCAGTGATGGGTGAGAGCACTGAACTGCTGTTTTCCCAAACATACTGCATCACACATTAAGCATCTATTTGAATCGTTCGATATGCTGATGTTTGGCATAGTAGAATAAACGACTCGATTTCAAAAAGCAGTAGACAAAACAGTAGATCCTTAGAAAACATAACTAACTTAAATGTAAAATTACTTACAAAGCCAGTTATTCGGGTGTCATATAAACAGCGTAAAAATGTGTCAAAAACTGCCGTTAGTTACAGCCTCCCAACGGCAGGCGACGCTACGGCCCTTCCCAACGTCTCCAAAGCGCATGCGCACCGGAGGAAGGCGTCACGGTGCAGTTTCCCGTCGCTTCATCTTGAACTGAAACACAACAAACCCATGCAAATATAATGGTCGCACCCGTTTGAAAGCGAGTTATTTTGTTTCGCGCCTCAGCGTCATGTGTTATAAATTAATTCGTGGTCTAATACTAGCGAGTAATCCTAAGAAAAATGTATATTTCCACGCCACCAGAAGGTAACTACGCTTGCGCGCGTGAGTGATTGTACTGCAGCGCGAGCGCGAATGAACTGATATTCTATATTACAAAACCTCACTAATAAACACACAACTGTCACATAAAATTAGCATTTATGTGCTGGTTATTTAGTGTGGGTGGGATGGCAGGTGAAGTAGCTAAATCGCTTGCAGGTGTATTCACTGACTTTCTGTATATATAAAGCTTGTACAGTAGATGTCAATGGTTGTTTTTTTTTCTGTTTACATTTCGTTTTTATTATTATGTATATTTACTGTTTTGTATTCTGGTTATATATGTATTTTATTGCTTTGACTGTATCCCCTGTGAATGTTATATATTTTCAGATTTTTTTTGTGAATGTTATATCTTTAATAAAAAAAAATAAAATAAAAAAGTAGATGTCAGTGGTGACCAACATTACTAGTACAAATATATTTACTACACTAAAACTGTGGGCAGTTGATATTAGCGATTGCCATCACAAAAAGATAGGAAAGAAAATGGCCGAAAGCTTCTTGCACTTTAAAAAGATGGCAAATATTTAAAAATATCTTTAAATAATTCCTTATATTCATTAAAATAATACTATATGAACGGTTATATTTTAAAAAATATACTATGCATTTATTTTGTGTATTGTATTTTTTTCTCTCTCTCTTTGATTTTCCCCATCAGATCAAGAGCTGCGTAATGTCATTGATAAACTGGCCCAGTTTGTCGCCCGGAATGGACCCGAGTTTGAGAAGATGACCATGGAGAAGCAGAAGGACAACCTCAAGTTCTCCTTTCTGTTCGGAGGGGAATATTTTGTTGTCAAAGGAGGGGGCTTTGTTGAAAACAAGGTGTTTGATAGAGGCGGGGCATAGAGGACCTACAATAATGTACAGTATTTGAAAAAGAATGTGTTTTTTGAACATTAAAGCATGTCAACATATTCTGTTACACCAAATACACAAAATAATGATCTTTAAAATAGCATCATATGACCCATTTAACATAAGGTCCTGCAGGAGTACCAACTACAGTATATGTATTTTCACTGGATGCTGGTGTGTATTTATTTCTCTCTTCACTTTTGGTCAGGGTCACCCCTGATAGTATATGTCGTAAAAGGAGTGTTGTAACAAGGAATCTTCTTTCTTTGAAGACCATCCAATTGTATTTTTTTCTATCCAAAGGAAATAAAGGTATTTGCAATCAACATATACATTTTTAAATTTTGCATTTTATATATTATATGTTTTATCAGTGACTGACACTTTCTTATGCTTTCCGGATAATGGTGTGTACAGCAACATATTACTCTCATAATACAGATTACA